TTGCTTCTGTTTTTGCAGAATGGACTTTATTTTTTTGTGATGCTGAGGATCAAACCCAGGGGTTTGTGCATGCTAGGCAAGTGCTTGACCACTGAGCTACTTGGTTTTATGAGGCAGATTCTTGCTATGTAATTCAGGCTGGTCTTGAACTAGAGATCCTCCTGCCTTCCCCTACTGAGTGTTGGCATTACAGGCATGTCCCACCACACCTGGCTAAAATACAGGTTTTAAACAGGGTTTCCATTTGCTAAAACCTTAGCCAGTAAAAAATGCAATGAAGGAAAAAAATGGTCATGTAAAGCTCATTTTTAGAACAAAAGGGAATGTGATTTTTGACAATATCAGAAGATTAATTAGGAATTCTGTTTGCTAGTGACAAAGCTGGCACATTTTCAGTCCAGATTGACACAACTAAAGACACAGGCATGGGCAGTGTTTGCTCTAGAATACTCTGATAAGTCAGAGGATCTCAGAGAAGAGCTGCTAGCCAAGGTAAATGCAGGGTCAAGAGCTCAAAGTGGCTGACCACAAAGGACATTTCAGGGGATTTGCTTTCCAGTTAGATAAAGAAGCTGCTAGTCCAGACTAGCTGCACTCTTGTTATTTGTGTGGCTTGAATACAGCTACTGGATCAGAATTGGAATTGGTTCCTTCAAGGAACATCACAAACATTCAAGAGGTGTTTTAAGTGTAGTCTAGAAGGTGTCTAATTAGAGGAGGGAGGGCGTGAGGATTCTAGAACTGGAAGGGACTGTACACTTCCTTTATCTGGCCTGTCACCAATATAGAGATCCTTCCTACTCATGGTGGGTTGTCACACATTCTTTTCTGAAGACCCACAGTGAAGGGGAGGTGAAAGTTTCATAAGATGATCTGCTCCACTTGAGAACACAGTTCTCTAAACATGTACATTATAGATAGATAGATAGACAGATAGATAGATAGAAATACAGATAGATACATATACACTTACATTTTAGTGAATGGAAATACCAGGTAAGTGCTCTCCCAGTGAGTTTATGTCCTCAGCCCATAAGCCTGGGATTTTAATATCTGATAAAAATTGAGCTCCTAAGCTGTCCATTAGGTGTGTTGGAAATGTGCTTTGGGCCTAACTGCTTTGGTACATTTGGAGATCAGCAGTATCACTCTTTGGTTATTAGTCATGTGACTATATTTTGAGCTTACTGAGTAGTTACAAAACCAAATAGCATATTAATCATCAAGGAATCTCTGAGCTGTTCTTGAGGAAGACAAAAACTTGGATAATGACCTTATATTCAGGGATATTCCTCTGGGCTTATTGGTAACCAGTGCATACAGAAATGTAAAGTGACCAATGCATAACATTAAATCAAAACCTTTCCCAATTTGTTGCACATTTTTCATGAGACCCGAAAAATAAGATTCATTCTTTTTTATTCAGCCATAGGAATCTTTGCAACTTAATAATATGTTAGGCATTTCTGAGACCCCACGTAGAATTGGGTCTAGAGAGACCTTTTTGAAACAGAACAGGTTGAAACACCTTCCACCAGAGGAGCACAGACATTTGGAAAGAGACAATGTAGAAGAGGGCAACACTTCACACTCGAGAGTCCAGGAAGGGAAACAAGACTTCATTACTTGTGCCGTCCATGCAGTGTGCCTCAACCTCATGCTTCACCCAACCTTTCAGCTTGTGGGGAAGCAGTGAGCACACCATCTGCTTGACATAATCTGAGTTGACTGTTGTCATGCTAAGAGGGTTCTGTACTTGATGAAGAGCCTGGACCTGTTCCCTGTCCAGTCAGTGATGGATGTTAGAGGGTACAACCTTGAACTCAGCATGGAGGGGTCCTTACTATTCCAGTTCTAAAGGACGTAGGTCCTGGCAGAAGGGATGACAGCCTCATGGCCTATGGCTCTATGCCCAGGGAACATCAAAGTTTAGCGCTTCCTTACCTCCCCTCACCCTAAGACCCAATTGTGCCTCAGAATCAACTGGGAGGGTTTATTCAACACAGACTGCTACTACCCCACTTCACATGCAGTTCCTGACTCAGTGTCTAAGGTGGGGCCAAGAGTTTTATTTCCAACAAAACACCAGCTAATGCTGGTGATGGGCCTGGGTCTGCATTTTGGGTACGACTTTTCCGAAGAGTGCCAAAAAGAAATAAGGACCACCAGCAACTGAGCTGGCTCTCTGGGCAAGGGGAGGGGGGAGGGAAGAAAGGAGGGTGGGAAAAGAAGCAGCCCTCATTCAAAGTAGCTCTTTTCCCCTCTCAGCCCGTGAAGGCAGAGCTGCTCATTGAGCTTGCTGCTCAGAGCATTAATTGTGATACTTTACTTTGCCTAAGCTGTGATGAAATAATTGAAGGCATCATAGCAAGAAGTTAAACCCTAGGGAGGCTATTAACAATTTAGCATTTCCAGTTCACATGGGAATGTCGATTCTCCTTAGCAAGGAGAATATTAGGGACGTGCTTAGCGGAAGAAGTGGCAGAATCAGTTGGGTTCCCAATTGCCTCTGCTTTGACCCTCTTACTGGAGGAAGAGAAATGCAACCCCCTGCCCCACTCCCAATCTCTTGTCATAAAGACAATATGCTGGTTTCTATAGTCGATTGCTTGCTAGGCCGATAGCAATGCTATGTTTCTTCCCCGTTGGGGAAGCAGAGGTAGAGAGTAAAATAGTGAGGCTGAGACCAGGAGGCTCTGGCTGCAGAACAGACACTGTTTTTCCACTTGAAATCCCCTCTCTACATGGCTGGGCTGGACTCTTCCCCAAGAGGTTGTTAAGTCTGATCACTAAGTGGGTAGAAAGAGAACCTGCTTTATTGGCAGTGGAAACCACCAAAGGGACAGCAGAGGGGAGGAGACAGGTGCCACAGGGAAAAACATAGACTGCAAGGTAGGACACTAACTCTGACCTTCACCTTGTGATTAATTACAAACCTGGGTATGGCAAATCACTTAATTTCAAGTTCCCAGTTTCCCATCTGTAAAATGAAGGCATAGACTTGATGATTGCTAAGGATTTTTATAACTCAAAAAACAAGACCAAAAGCAAACTATGATGCCAGATATTCATCCTGATTGATGACACCTCAACTTTGTCACACTGTCCCAGCTGTTGCTTTGAGCTCAGCTTGTTCAGTGCTAACAGGTTAATAGACAAAGTAATACAAGTGGCTAAGCCAAGATGGGACTAACAATTCTCTCATTTTTTTTTTTCCTGGAGGCCTCTCTCATTTCTTGAAGCACCCCAGGGTCTCTTCCCAGGAATTTAAAATTAGACTACTCATGAAAGGGTCTAAGGACCTTGTTGTTTTTGTGCTGGGGTCACAAGGATACCTTGGTTGTATGGGTTTCCTCAGAAAAGAATTTCAGTCTCAGCAACAAACTTGCACAGACAAGAACAGGTGCAAAAGCGAATTCTCAGATTTCTTCTTGAAAACTACTCGTTCTAAATCTGCAGTTGATTTTATCCCTAACCCTGAATTCATTTAACATAAACAACCAAAGGTAGGCATGTTTATCTCTTGAGGCCAACCTTCCCACTTTTGTTGGTTAGTTCGTTTTGTGGTTTTTATTTTGTTTGGGGGTCGAAGAGGAGGAAATGCCTCCATAAGTGGTCTCAAGTTGGGTTGTGCCTCCAGGATGGCCTCCTTTGCAGGCCTGGTAACAGGATTTGTGTTTATGTCATCTGTGTAAGTGCCTTCTGGAGCCACACACCATTGTCACCCACCAGACTCTTCACTAAAAGGGAACCTGGTCTCAAACTGCCCATGACTGCTTGTGGCAACAGGTCTATGCAAGAATCAGAGGAATCAGAATACATTGGAGACCTGCTATCCTGGAGCATACTAACAACATTTTTAAGTGCTCTTAATATTAAGCTAATGAAAAACATACTCTGTTTTTTCCCCCATCAAATCAGTTTTTCTTCTCCCATCTTCCCCAATCATCACAAACTCTAGACCTTTAGAGCACACAGAGTATCTCCTACTTCACCTGTCAACCCCATGGCAAGGTTGACATCTTCATGGATAGTTAGCTGAAGGTGGATTTAGAAAAGCTGGACACGTTCCACAGAACCCATATAATTCCCAAGTTGTTCAAACCAAATTTCCTTTCTCACAAAAATCTCAAGGCTAGAAGTGCTTGGCTAGATTTGTGTACTGGTGTGAGAAGGTACTTTACCTCACCAGGTGTGTGGTAGAATGAGAAAGGTGGGTCCTGGTTAGTGGGTGCTGCTTTATTGGATGCTGGTTCTTTTTCTTGTCATTTAGTGGTATGGTTCCTTACCCTCAAGGTGGTGGGTCGAGGAGGGGAGAACTTGGCCAAAATTATTTTAATTCTGGTTGTCTAATCCTCATTCTTCCCTGGCTTATATTGTGAGAAGGCAAGCCTACATGGGGTACCCACCGATAGGATTCTAGAGTGTGCCCCAACCAAGTCCCAAATGCCTGAGATTTCCCTATTTATGAGGGTCCTGTTGTAAACATAACAGGTGGAGGGATGTGGGATGGGGCAGGCCGAGTGGGACTGTCCCATAGAAAATGGTTCACAGAGCCACTCATTTCCTATTAGCCTGTTGTTTTGGTTTTTTGCCTGGAATTGTCTATAAAAATATGTGTGTAGGTAAACCAGACTTGCAGATAAATCTCATTTTTCCAGCCTACCCATAATATTACTCATCTTCTTTTTGCTATGTTTGTCTCTTATCATAAGACAATAATCAAATAACAGCAAATGAACCTGAGAACCACCCCCTACACCCATACTTAAAACAAACTCCTTCCCCTTTGTTCAAAAAGACCAAAATTAAAACCAAAACAAAAACTGTGGGAAACAACTCACCACTGTTCTTTTGTTTCAGGCCTTGGGCCTGTTAACTGTCTGCAAGGCTGTTGTAATGATGTTAATCTATTTTAATGGAATTGAAATGTGATACCCTGTGGTTTACGATGCCCATTGTTTATGGCTGTAGTGTTTGATTTTGGGTTTCTTTCACAGATAAACTTCTGCACTGGAGAGGCCTGTCCTCCCCTCGTTCTGCACACGGAGCTCTAATCCCCACGCCTGGAATGGGTGCAGAATATGCCCCGCAGGGTATTTGTAAGTTGAACATTATTTCTTCTACGAATGTCTGTGTGCATGATGAGAGTTTCTGGAAATTACCCTCACTTTTTAAGTACCAAAGGGACTTCCAAAATAGATTGGCACCCATGTATGTATTATTCCATTACTCACTTGGCACTTGCACCCCATTCCACTCAACCCTGAGAGTGATTTTTCCCTCCTCTTTTCCTTTCTTTCCTCACAGGAGGCCCAGAGCTGATTGCAGCTCATCCCTGTGGGTCTTCTCCCCAGGGTACTGCCTGGCTTCATGGCTTGTGGCTGGTACATCTGGGCATTCAGAGCCCATTTCATTGCTGGACATTGTGGTTTCATGAAGGGTTTTGAATTTATTCCACGGTATACATCTTTAGCAGATGCCAGAATCACAAGGAATTATTCTAATGCATGTTATTTATGCATTCACATGTGTGTTTGAGCATGGTATATTTATACATACAAATGGTACATTATGTATAGTGCATATATTCATATATATACACATATACACATAATTTCTGTTTATTTTTTTCTTCTAGTATTATAGGAAAATGAACAGCATTATAGTTAAAATGTAAAGATTCCACTACCACTACCACCACCATCATCATTTTCTTGTTCAAGTCAACTTTTTTATATTGGGGATCTTTTTTATGAAATTTATATTTGTTCATTTATAAGAATGTTTTCTGGAAGATGTTGTTTTAAAAAGTAAATCAGTTTACTTTTCTATGTAGAAACACATGGTACGAGTCATGCATGGTTAAAAAGTTGGGAAAAAGGTTTGATTCTACCCTAAAAACAAAAAAGCAGGTTGAAGAAAAAAAGGATGTGGGACATCTAATTTTGATTTTGAAAGTAAATGAAAAATAAACTGTTATGAGAAAGCAAAAAGAAAGGGAAAGAGAATAACAAGCAATAAGATACAAGAGTTAAGGCTGTAAAGGGGATACTTTTTTTTTTCTTTTTTAACGTAGGAGGGAAACTAGCCTTACCCATCTTGTCTGTAGTGCAGGACATGCACCCTGAGACCAAATTCAAAGCCAGTTGTTTATTTTCATTAACTCCTAGGTAATCCCAGGTAACAGGTAACAAAGAGTTATTGTAGGAGTTTCACAAGGCCTTGGGTCCTGAGGACTGGGTGGTGCAGGGGTTAAAGCATCTCATACCCCCTCTCCCCCACAAGCTGGGCTGAGCCTGGGTTAGGACTGCAGAGTTTAGAGGGTTGGCCTCATAGATTTGAGTTCCTACATGCCAGCTGGGTGGGAAGTACTTTCCTCCTTTTCCTGGGGGTGCCTTGAGCCTGCACTTGGCTGTGGGAACCAGAGACAAAGGAGTGGGGCTGTGGAGAGAAGGGTGGAGTTGGAGAGGCCAGTGGGCAAAGGAACCAGTTTTCTCTATGTCTTCAGCTGGGTATTTCTGAGGACAGGAGTTTGATTTGTAGGGTGAAAAGGTGGAAATCTAATATGGTATCCTTGTTCCCTCTCTCTACGCACATAGTACATACTTTGCTGGTGCCCAGGCTGGGAGGACCAGTTTAGGAGTGACCAGAACAAGGGATGTGGAAAAGGTTGTGGAGTTCCAGAAAACTCTAGGACAAAGCTGATGCCCACCCCATTTAGCTGCTGTTGGCTTTCAGGGCCTTTAGGCTTGTGGCCATCCCCCTGTTCCCTGCCTTTCTAACCAGAGCTTGGGGTGAGGCCTGCCTCCGACCTTCTTCACCAAGCTGTGCTGGGCGTGTAATGTTAATCATTACCCTTGGTAATTAATCACGCCCGGTAGTAAAGAAAACTCACATTCATATTGGACCTGATAGTTTATACAGGGCCTTTTATATGAATCTGTCATTTGAACCTCACAGTTCTATAAAGGTACTGTTTTTATGCTCATTTTACAGATAGGAAGCCTAAGGAGACATTAAATGACAGTCCCAGCGTCACAAGCTGATCAATAATGGAGCTGAGGGTCCTGCCTCAGACCTCCTTATTCTTCCAAATCTTGAGGCTTCAATCATGCAACTTTTTTCATTGGTGACATACTAGAAAGGGGAGCCATTCCTTCCCATAAAATAAAATGATATAAAATAAAATAAAAGCCATAGGTGGGCTAACAGCTGCTTTTAACTCTTTCAGTGCCTCAAGTTCTTATGCTTAGAGGCTGGGTCTCAGTTTATTGCTTTAAATCAAAACAATCCTGGTGAATGCCCAATGAGGCTCTCAAATTGAGAAGTTGATTTTCATCAGAGTAAATGAAGAATATTATTATATTTTACATGTCAATAAATCAATGTAGCCCTAATTTTGCCACGCAGGAAATCAATTCTGGTCTTTCTAAACCATCAAAGATGTTATGAACAAAGTAATTTCACAAATTATGGCAAGTAACACATTTATTGATGACTGCACTTTAGGAATTTAGAATCTGTGAACACTGTAATATAATATGGTGCGCTGGCATGAGCTGAGTGAAATACAGATTATATGGTGAAATTGTAATGCATCATTTGCTATTAGTGGACTGGTAATAATTACCAGTTTCAAAGCCGCTCTTTCCATGTAATCTTTAGCCTCAGTTGTAACAGCCCTTCTCATTGATATTATGGTCACACTAGCTGCCCTCATGATCTACAATATCTAGTTGATGGGAATACTAAAATGTGATGGTGAAACTGTATGTTGTATGCTCATTATAAGATAAAATGCCATTTTCTCTGACCTGATGTATGAGAGGGGAAGGATAGCATCATAGTGTTAACACACTGCACCATAATCACATAACTAGCTCTGAAAAAAAATTTACCAAGCTCAGGGCAGCAAAATAAAATGGACTTTTCCTGTTTAAGCATCTTGGAAAGGATGTAAATGAAATTCTTGATATAGTGCCGTTTGCCACAGATTTCAGCGTTTATCACTGGCCGCATCATGGCGCACGCAAAACCAGCATCGCTAATTATGGGTCCAGTCCTGGGTTTCAAGAGAAGATTATAAGGGTAAAATATGATTTTAAGGCATTTGGAGTGATGAAAGTGTTAAGAACTCGCCTCAGCTGACAAATCTCCTTTTTACTTACCCAATTCCAATTGTCAGGCTAAATATATGATAATAACCCACAGTTCTAGGGAGGCAAAGGAGAAAGCTGCAGAGGGTCACACTAGTTGGAACCAGATAGATTTTTTTCCCTGCCTATTTGGGACCCAAGTCATTGTTCAACAACAACAAAAAATTTATGAAAATACTCTCAATGAAGCTTTTTATTTCCCTTTGAAGAGAGGAGGCAAACAAAAATAGGCAGATAATGTGATATGAATGTCAGCGTTTTCTTTCAAAATCTTTTTGCCTTTCCTCCCCCCCTTCCACATTAGGCAAATGTTTCAAGCCTAATTTTGGTATCTTACCATCTAATCTTATTAAAGAGATTTACCCAGTAGTGGGGTATATTGAGTGAGATTATAAATGCATTGTAAAGTAAATTACAAGGTCAGGGCAGGAGTCCATTATTTAGACAAGTGGTGGAGTGAGGCTGGCTTGTTTTGGAATATGAGTGTTTGGGGCGCCTGAGAAGACCCTGCCAGCTTTTCCTTTCTGACTTGCTAAATGGAGGAATCATGTAATTAATGAATTCTTCCTTCCCACTCTTTAGTTCCCTGGTGAATTTTGTCTTTTTAAACAAGTTATTGACAAATGCTAGCTATGGGCTTGAGGAATTTTGTTAGCCCCGCTGGTAAAAGAGGGAGAAAGTTTATTTCTCAGTTATACTTTAAGTCCTGTCTTTTTTGGAATTCCCTGGGACATTACCTATTCTTCTCATCCTTGTCCCTAGGCCACTGTCACTTATGCCCTTTTTAAGGCTATAATTGACTAGTAAACTGTTAGTTAGTTACTTTCTATGTGTGTGTGATACACACATACACACGCACACACATTATTTAGCTATCTCCAAAAATGAATGATTTTGTGAAGTCAAGCTGGCCCCCTCTTTGCCAAAGTGGCATTTACCACTCTCGGGTTCTTTTCAGCAAGAGAGAAATAATGTGACTTAAGCAGGGCCCCTCTCCAGACGGCTTGGCTACTGGCCAAACAGTTGACTAGCTGAACTGTATCTTTCTGTTTCTTTCTCAACTGGAGCCGAGTCTCAGCCGAGGGCGCAGGATGTCGTATAATTTGGTTCACGTTGTTAGCCTCTCAAAATAATGAGGAGGAGGCTAGGGTAGCATTGCTCAGCCTGCTGCCTGTCATGGTGCTGGCTGCCTCAACTGTGTTTGCTGAAGTTGGCACCAGCCACTCCTAACTTCTCTGGACTTGCATTTTTTTGCTCTGGGGGTGGGAGCGGGGTTCCTAAGGATTAGAGACAGCCTTTCAGTTAAATCTGAGTTAGATTTTTCTTTTGAGATTTTCACAACTTTCTTTGAGATTAAATATGAGTGTTGCTGTGGATTGGACCAAAATTAGAACTAACTGACCAGCGCACAGGATGGAATATGAGAATTTTGCTAGTCTTTCTTCCACTGAAGAAAGTTTTGAGTCCCTCCTCATCTCAAGGATATCAACAATTAGTGTGTTTCAGGCTATGCCTCTATAGTTTCATGGAGAATTTTAGTGACTTGACCTTCTTTCTGGTATCTCTGTGGAATGATTGCCTGGTTAGAACTCACCACCCAGGGAAGAGTAGACTAGGACAATAGGTTTAAGAAGCAAAACAATTTCCCTTAGGTGGGCGGGCTTGTTCAAGTCCCTCATTTGACAGATGAGGAGACAGAGGTGCGCAGAGCCAAAATGGTTTGCTTCAGACATAGCCAATGAGACTGAAAAGTTCAGAAGACACTGCTGCAGTTCCTAGAAGGTAGGACTCCTTATCCCACAGCTTGAATTGGTCAGGATGTTTCTGTTTTGGACCTTGGGTATAGAATTCTTAGGACTGAGTTTAATGGCAGGAAGACTAATTTGACAAATACCTATTGGGCACCCATCACCACTGGCATCAGGGACCATCTAGAAACAGGGTAGGTTGGTCGGGGTGAGGCCTTGGGGTTGAGGGATGGGGGAGGAGAAGGCTGGAGGTAGAACATAAATAAGCAATTGCAGAAGCCTGGCTCAGTGATTAAACATTGATGTTGGTGTTGTATTATTTTGCAGGTAAAGATGAGCCCAGCAGCTACACATGTACAACTTGCAAACAGCCATTCACCAGTGCATGGTTTCTCTTGCAACACGCACAGAACACTCATGGATTAAGAATCTACTTAGAAAGCGAACATGGAAGTCCCCTGACCCCGCGGGTTGGTATCCCTTCAGGACTAGGTGCAGAATGTCCTTCCCAGCCACCTCTCCATGGGATTCATATTGCAGACAATAACCCCTTTAACCTGCTAAGAATACCAGGATCAGTATCGAGAGAGGCTTCCGGCCTGGCAGAAGGGCGCTTTCCACCCACTCCCCCCCTGTTTAGTCCACCACCGAGACATCACTTGGACCCCCACCGCATAGAGCGCCTGGGGGCGGAAGAGATGGCCCTGGCCACCCATCACCCGAGTGCCTTTGACAGGGTGCTGCGGTTGAATCCAATGGCTATGGAGCCTCCCGCCATGGATTTCTCTAGGAGACTTAGAGAGCTGGCAGGGAACACGTCTAGCCCACCGCTGTCCCCAGGCCGGCCCAGCCCTATGCAAAGGTTACTGCAACCATTCCAGCCAGGTAGCAAGCCGCCCTTCCTGGCGACGCCCCCCCTCCCTCCTCTGCAATCTGCCCCTCCTCCCTCCCAGCCCCCGGTCAAGTCCAAGTCGTGTGAGTTCTGCGGCAAGACGTTCAAATTTCAGAGCAACCTGGTGGTGCACCGGCGCAGCCACACGGGCGAGAAGCCCTACAAGTGCAACCTGTGCGACCACGCGTGCACACAGGCCAGCAAGCTGAAGCGCCACATGAAGACGCACATGCACAAGTCTTCGCCCATGACAGTCAAGTCCGACGACGGCCTCTCCACCGCCAGCTCCCCAGAACCCGGCACCAGCGACCTGGTGGGCAGCGCCAGCAGCGCGCTCAAGTCCGTGGTAGCCAAGTTCAAGAGCGAGAATGACCCCAACCTGATCCCGGAGAATGGGGACGAGGAGGAAGAGGAGGACGACGAGGAAGAGGAAGAAGAGGAGGAAGAGGAGGAGGAGGAGCTGACGGAGAGCGAGAGGGTGGACTACGGCTTCGGGCTGAGCCTGGAGGCAGCGCGCCACCACGAGAACAGCTCGCGGGGCGCGGTGGTAGGCGTGGGCGATGAGGGCCGCGCCCTGCCTGATGTGATGCAGGGCATGGTGCTCAGCTCCATGCAGCACTTCAGTGAGGCCTTCCACCAGGTCCTGGGCGAGAAGCATAAGCGTGGCCACCTGGCCGAGGCCGAGGGCCACAGGGACACTTGCGACGAAGACTCGGTGGCCGGCGAGTCGGACCGCATAGACGATGGCACTGTTAACGGCCGCGGCTGCTCCCCCGGCGAGTCGGCCTCAGGGGGCCTGTCCAAAAAGCTGCTGCTGGGCAGCCCCAGCTCGCTGAGCCCCTTCTCCAAGCGCATCAAGCTCGAGAAGGAGTTCGATCTGCCCCCCGCCGCGATGCCCAACACGGAGAACGTGTACTCTCAGTGGCTCGCTGGCTACGCGGCCTCCAGGCAGCTCAAAGATCCCTTCCTTAGCTTCGGAGACTCCAGACAATCGCCTTTTGCCTCCTCATCGGAGCACTCCTCGGAGAATGGGAGCTTGCGCTTCTCCACACCGCCCGGGGAGCTGGACGGAGGGATCTCGGGGCGCAGCGGCACGGGAAGTGGAGGGAGCACGCCCCATATTAGTGGTCCGGGCCCGGGCAGGCCCAGCTCAAAAGAGGGCAGACGCAGCGACACTTGTGAGTACTGTGGGAAAGTCTTCAAGAACTGTAGCAATCTCACTGTCCACAGGAGAAGCCACACGGGCGAAAGGCCTTATAAATGCGAGCTGTGCAACTATGCCTGTGCCCAGAGTAGCAAGCTCACCAGGCACATGAAAACGCATGGCCAGGTGGGGAAGGACGTTTACAAATGTGAAATTTGTAAGATGCCTTTTAGCGTGTACAGTACCCTGGAGAAACACATGAAAAAATGGCACAGTGATCGAGTGTTGAATAATGATATAAAAACTGAATAGAGGTATATTAATTAATACCCCTCCCTCACCCCACCTGACACCCCCTTTTTTCATCACCCCCCCTTTCCCATCGCCCTCCAGTCCCAGTCCCTGTAGGATTTTTTTCTAGTCCCATGTGATTTAAACAACCAACCAACAAACAAACAGAAGTAAGGAAAGCTAAGAATATGAGAGTGCTTGTCACCAGCACACTTTTTTTTCTTTTTCTTTTTTTCTTTTCTTTTTTTTTTCCTTTTTCCTTTATGTTCTCACCGTTTGAATGCATGATCTGTATGGGGCAATACTATTGCATTTTACGCAAACTTTGAGCCTTTCTCTTGTGCAATAATTTACATGTTGTGTATGTTTTTTTTTTAAACTTAGACAGCATGTATGGTATGTTATGGCTATTTTAAATTGTCCCTAATTCATTGCTAAGCAAACATGTTGCTGTTTCCAGTTCCGTTCTGAGAGAAAGAGAGAGAGAGAGAGAGAGAGAGAGAGACCATGCTGCATACATTCTGTGACACATATCATGTACAGTTTTATTTTATAACGTGAAGAGGAAAAACAGTCTTTGGATTAATCCTCTATAGACAGAATAGATAGCACTGAAAAAAAATCTCTATGCGCTAAATGTCTGTCTCTAACGGGTTAAATGTATCAATTGGAGAGGAAAAAAGGCCTTGAATTGACAAATTAACAGAAAAACAGAACAAGTTTCTTCTGTCATTTGGTTTTAAAATATGAGTGCCTTGGATCTATTAAAACCACATTGATGGTTCTTTCTACTTGTTATAAACGCGTAGCTTAATTCAGCATTGGGTGAGGTAATAAACCTTAGGACCTAGCATATAATTCTATATTGTATTTCTCACAACAATGGCTACCTAAAATATGACCCACTATGTCCTAGTTAATCATCATTTTCCCTTTAGTTTAACTTTGTGAACAAAAACTGATTATACCAGTATAAAAGCTACTTCGCTCCTGGTGAGAGCTTAAAAGAAATGGGCTGTTTTGGCCAAGGTTTTATTTTTTTTTTAAATGAGTAAATCTAATGTGTAACGTGCAAAAGCCCTGAAACATGATTAAATACATTAGTAAGGAGTTCATTTCATGATGATGCTTGTTTTAAATAATATTTTTTAAAAATTCTGGCACCAAAAGAAATAGATCCAGATCCACTTGGTTGTCAAAAGGACAATCGAATGATAACTTAGGACCTTGTATACCATATTAAAAAGAAGAGGCTGACGACAAGGTTTGACAGAGGGGAACAGAGGGAAAAAAATAAGTGATTTATTAGCACAACGTGGTACTCTTTGCCATTTTAAAACTAGAACAGGTGTATAAGCTAATATTAATGCAATGATGATTAACTATGAATTCTTAAGACTTGCGTTTAAAATGTGACATTCTTAAAAAAGAGAGAAAGAGTAGCAGGATATATGTCTGTGCTCCCTAAAAGTTGTACTTCACTTCTTTTCCATACACTGTGTGCTATTTGTGTTAACATGGAAGAGGATTCATTGTTTTTATTTTATTTCTTTAAGTTTTTCTTTTTTATTAAGCTAGCATCTGCCCCAGTTGGTGTTCAAATAGCACTTGACTCTGCCTGTGATAGCTGTATCTTTTCTCTAATCAGAGATACAGAGGTTGAGTATAAACTAAACCTGCTCAGATAGGACAATTAAGTGCACTGTACAATTTTCCCAGTTTACAGGTCTATACTTAAGGGAAAAGTTGCAAGAATGCTGAAAAAAAATTGAACACAATCTTATTGATAAGCATTTAAAAAAAATTTTAAAACTTTGCCAGCCATTTACTTGACTTGAGCTCACATACTTGGACACAACATTGCAAGCGCTGTGAATGGAAACAGAATACACTTAACATAGAAATGAATGATTGCTTTCGCTTCTACAGTGCAAGGATTTTTTTGTACAAAACTTTTTTAAATATAAATGTTAAGAAAAAATTTTTTTAAAAAAACACTTCATTATGTTTAGGGGGGAACTGCATTTTAGGGTTCCATTGTCTTGGTGGTGTTACAAGACTTGTTATCCATTTAAAAATGGTAGTGGAAATTCTATGCCTTGGATTACACACCGCTCTTCAGGTTGTAAAAAACATACATCGGGGAAAGGTTTAAGATTATATAGTACTTAAATATAGGAAAATGCACACTCATGTTGATTCCTATGCTAAAACACATTTATGGTCTTTTTTCTGTATTTCTAGAATGGTATTTGAATTAAATGTTCATCTAGTGTTAGGCACTATAGTATTTATATTGAAGCTTGTATTTTTAACTGTTGCTTGTTCTCTTAAAAGGTATCAATGTACCTTTTTTGGTAGTGGAAAAAAAAAAAAGACAGGCTGCCACAGTATATTTTTTTAATTTGGCAGGATAATATAGTGCAAATTATTTGTATGCTTCAAAAAAAAAAAAGAGAAACAAAAAAGTGTGACATTGTACAGATGAGAAGCCATATAATGGCGGTTTGGGGGAGCCTGCTAGAATGTCACACGGATGGCTGTCATAGGGGTTGTACATATCCTTTTTTGTTCCTTTTTCCTGCTGCCATACTGTATGCAGTACTGCAAGCTAATAACGTTGGTTTGTTATGTAGTGTGCTTTTGTCCCTTTCCTTCTATCACCCTACATTCCAGCATCTTACCTTCATATGCAGTAAAAGAAAGAAAGAAAAAAAGGAAAAAAAAAAAAAAACAACAATGTTTTGCAGTTTTTTTCATTGCCAAAAACTAAATGGTGCTTTATATTTAGATTGGAAAGAATTTCATATGCAAAGCATATTAAAGAGAAAGCCCGCTTTAGTCAATACTTTTTTGTAAATGGCAATGCAGAATATTTTGTTATTGGCCTTTTCTATTCCTGTAATGAAAGCTGTTTGTCGTAACTTGAAATTTTATCTTTTACTATGGGAGTCACTATTTATTATTGCTTATGTGCCCTGTTCAAAACAGAGGCACTTAATTTGATCTTTTATTTTTCTTTGTTTTTATTTTTTTTTATTTGGATGACCAAAGGTCATTACAACCTGGCTTTTTATTGTATTTGTTTCTGGTCTTTGTTAAGTTCTATTGGAAAAACCACTGTCTGTGTTTTTTTGGCAGTTGTCTGCATTAACCTGTTCATACACCCATTTTGTCCCTTTATTGAAAAAAATAAAAAAAAATTAAAGTAGAGAAACAAAACCAACCAACCAACCAACAATCTAAAAACAAAATGCGGCAACCAGGGGTAGCCAGACATAGCCAAATCTCTGGAATCTGAAGTGATTTCCTGTGATGCATCGTGGTTTGCCTTGTGGTTCTGAGATCCTATGAACTGTAGAGGCTACAGATGGTTTGGGGTGGTGTTATAGGGTCTACCTGGTGGACAGCAAATGAAGAGGGAATATCCTTCAATCATCTTTTGACCAACTAATAAGTTTATGAAATGCCTCTGAAAAACTAGTTAAGTTTATTTTAAAAACCCCTCCTTAAAATCTCTTTTGTGGGTTTTACAATGACTGCATGTTGCAGCATCAATTGGCTTTATTAACACACATACCTCTGTGATTCTGTCTCTCCATGCCCAGTGCAGATGAATGGATCCAATATTGTTCTTATTTTTGTAAAAGCCAAAACAAAAGCTGTCTGTTGTCTTCTTGTGGTAGCATTTTTGTTGTTCAGTTCTTATGCCCTAGTGCCTGTGAGGTGGCCTTTTCATGTAATGCCTTTTCTCTGAGGCAAGAAGAGTTTTATCTTTTTAAAGTATAGCAAAAGTAGGTATTTTTGAAAAGGCCAGGTAGGAAGCAGAGGAATCCACTAAGAGAGGAGTTTGAAGAACATTGCATAGGAGCTGAGATGGGGTAGGGATGTACCTTGGAGAACTTGATGTTTGTCAGTGAACCAAGAAAAGATGTGTCTTACATTAGGTACTCCAAAACTGAATCTAAAATGCTGTTCAAGACAGATACAAATATTTACCCAGTGCCATGCTGGTTTGAGATGTGGTGGCTTCTGTTCCACCATATTGAATGTCTGTAAAATTTCTGTGTGTCCCTCTAGCCCTTCTATTTGATGCTCTGAGTGCAGCTGTGTAGGTTTACAAAACAGTATTCATTTTAGTTTTTCAGTATATGATGCTCTTAGCGTAATTAGGTTTTGCACCCTGTCAGATAGAATTAATGGGGATATGGTATACTTGTATGTTCAGATTTCTTAAATCAAATGGAGAATGAGGAGGGGTGCAAACATCTGGTGATAAATCATAGATTATGTTTGATTTACATGGTCCCGAAGTTAAATAAATTTATTGGGAGACAGATTCTTCAGGTTGCTTGGTCTACTGACTTATTGAAGCCTGCTGATAAAATATCATTTCTGAAGCTTGGTGAACAGTAGGAGCATGATAAATGACATTGTGTATCCTGAACCCCAAAGTTTAAAAATCTTAGTATGAAATAATATGAAAACATTTCCCCCATTAAGATGAATTCCTGATAATATATTTTTAAATGAGGGAATAACTAAAAATGTTAATACCTCTAAAAATTCTCAGTTTGTGCAACAGACTTCATGTGCTGATGGAATGTTCTCTCTGTACCTGAACTCCTGATGCTTACATGCTTCTTTTTATCTTCATTTTGAGAACAACTTAATAAACAGGAACACAGCAAATACTTTCTCACAAATTTTAATGCAGAAGCTCTCCCAATGCATATGTACTATCTCCTCCCTGAGCCCCTATGCAATCATCTCATAGTTTAGGACCAACAGAAGGATTGAAATCAACACATTTTAAAGGTTGCTAAGAAGTGGGGTGAACGTGGTTCCTCATGCACCAGTCGTGGCAGGAATTGTGAAGTAGTTGCTTTTCCCAGGGTTTTCTGTGGACAGAATAGAACTGTTTGTTTAAATACCATTTTTGTATATGCAATAAGTCCATATGCTTAAAGTGAGAACTTGAAAGGAAGGAGCAGGGGGAGGGGTGAACTAGATAGAATTTC